GGACTAGGAAGGCAAGCCCAATTATCCCACTTCTCTGCACGTTCCAGAACATGCTCCAAGTCAGTCAGTCAGACCTCATCTGGAATCCCAGCATTGCTACCGATGGGGTTGATACCTTGCCACCTCTTTAGTAACCCACTGGCACCAGGTCGATTCTGACTCATAGCAATCCTATAGGACAGAGCAGAGGCATCACTTCAAGGCTTCAAGTCTTTACAAGAGCTGACAGTCTTATCTTTCTCATGGGCGTGCCGGTGGATTCTAACTGCTGATCTTGCAGTTAGCAGCTCAATGTGTAACCTTCCACAACATCAAGTTTTTTTGTAATTATTAAAAGAAGATTAATAATAATATCTATGCCATGGGATTATGGTGGAGAGAAAACAAATCAATGTGTAATAAAATATTGAAATGGAGAGGTGAGTGCATTAGCTCTTAGTTTTTCCAGGAAGTGAATTAGCTAACATATGTGTAAAATACTAGACATCTATACTAGTTGTAGTTGTGGTGAACAAGAGAATAGCTTGACAAATGGCTGTTGACTACATTATAGATATTTACCCATGCTATTAAACATCATGAATATCTCCTCATGAATCAATTATACATAACTTGATGTTCACAGTGTTTTCATAATGAAAATACAAAATGATTTTTGCTGTTCCTCAAAGTTATCACAAGTTCTATTTTGCAATCTTGAAAACTCAGTTTTAGATCTTATTAACACTAAAACACAATAGCATGTATATGAAAAAAACTAGGTTATGAGAGAGCTGGTCAGTACTGGTATATAGTTCATTTTTCACTTACTTGTGGAGAATCATGTTTTATTCATTAGAATTCATGTATTTATGCCAAGACAGCACCTTAGAGGGTTTTTGTTTGTTTGGTTGGTTGGTTTTTTAAACTCCTCGGGGACTAATTTCCTCCCAACCTTCTCATCTACTTCCCAAAGTGCTTTGCAGCATTTACCTGCTTTTCAGGAATTAGAGACTGCACCTGCTATAGACACATATATGGGTTGGCTCACCATCTGCAGTGATTAGTAATTGTGAAAAAGTGTGCCTTAGAGACGGAACAGTATGTATTCTCCCACTTAACATGAATGAAAGAGAAAATTGGCTTTGTTTATGTTCTATGTTTGGTTTCTTCAATATATCTTTTCCCTAAGGATTACTAAGCACCTTTCTCCCTAGAGTTCCCTTCACACACTTCCCGAGGCTCTTTACTGAATCCTGAACAATGGCATCTGTCACACAAGTCAGTTTTTAATCGTCTTCTTTCCGCTGTCTTATTCATGTTGGCCTGGGACAAAATGCTTTGAAAGCAAGAGATGCGACTTTATTTTTCCCTGCGACATAATGATAAATTAAGCTCTTTTAAGAGAACAAGCACTAAGATGATCAACAACTAAGTCCCCAAACTATTTGAACGTTTAAACATGCATACGAGTATGTGTATGGTAGACGACAACACTTGTCCCATTCTAATTAGATTTATTTGCATTTCCTCATGCAAAGATCAGGGAAATCACAGCTTCAAAAACCACTGTAGTGAACCAATAAGGTCTCTGAAACTGTAAAAAACAATCAGATGTGCGGCCTGTGTATGTGCATGTATGTAAATATGTCTTTTCAGGGGAAAGAGTTCATAGCATTTACAAGATTTTTCCAAGGGACCTGGGAACCATAGGAGCTTAGGAACTAGTCTGGACCATGTGAAGCAAATAGTGAACGTTTACCTGGGGTTTTGAAGACAAAAAAAAACAAAACACTCGCACACAACAGGTAATATACAGATAATCATTTACATGGTTGCCTTGCACTAAATAGAAGAAAAATCGCTGAAAATTAAAAATTGAAAACAGATAAATTGGGAAAAGTTCTCTCTCACTGGAGCTCCCTACAGTGC